TGATCAGGAAGCTTCATTTTTTTTTCTCAAACAGCCTTTTTTTTTTTTCTTCTTTAAATAAGATCTGTTCTGAGCTGCATGGATGTACACCTAAGAGTATCTTCAATCAGCAGGTACTTGGAAATAGCAAATCCACTGGACGCTGTATTTGTCCTAAAAGTGATTTCAGATCTTTGTTCCTTCCTGGTCTGTTGTTTATTTGTGGTTAGTGGGGGCAGGGTTGCAGTGCACTGGCACACACTGGGCATCTTTCATGAGCTTGGGTATAAAAAGGGAGAAAAGATGAATCCTACACAGTAGCAGTTTTCTACACTACATCCTGCTTTATGTTGCTGTGGTTGCTCAGCTGGAAGGATGTTCAAGTCCTCCAGAGATGTTTGAGGAGGTGTTAAAGCTCCAGAGTTGTGCAGCCTTCTGTTTGGCTCATGTTTTTGGGCTTTTCTTACCACACCAGGAAGATTTGGTAGCGAGGTGGAAGTAAGGACTGATCTGCTGTGGATGGAGAAGCCACCAAGAGAGATGTAAGTGGTTTCCTGGCTCTCTGTACCTGGAGGTGCTGTGGAAGAAGAAGTGCTTTCTTGGCTCTGTTAACACTGGGACAAAGTCCTCAATAAAGTGTTGCCTCCTGTGAAGGGAGGTCAGAAGGGCTTTTGCCCATCTTCTTGGTCAAGCCAAAAGGTCCCCTCTGCTGGCAGTGTGGCTGGTGGCCATGTGAGCAGGCACGGGGCAGGTGCTCTTTGGAGTCTGGAGGTGCTTGGAGGTGGCTGAATTCCTCAACTGCTGGATTTCTCCTTAAAAAAAGGAGATGTGGCTCCACAGGGGGGTGGGTTATCACCTGGAGACCCTTCCAGAAATTATGCCAGAAGTACTTACTAAAGCAAGTAATGGAATTTGACAGGGAGATTGGTCTCTGCACCAGAGCATGAAGTATGGCTAGCAGGAGAGATGAGGATGGGGAGAGATGCCCACAGTGATTTATGAGATGGACCTGGAGTGATTTATCTTCCTTAAATATTAATGTTTCCTTTCTGAGTGAGTCAAAATTGTTTTGGAGACTGGGAGGGCAGCTAATTGGTCTAAGACAGATCGAAGCAGCCTTTTCTCTTCCAGAACTGGATTAGAAAGGACCCAGCTGAGAAGAGGGATGTCTGCAGTTTGCTGTGGTGGAGGTGCCAGCTAATGCACTGGTGCTGTTCAACCAGCACAGAATTGGCACCTTCACGGCCCTGATCCTCCCCACAGCCCTGTGAGATGGGGAAGGCAAGTCCATCTAGATGCTTCAATCTGATTTGTGAAGCTGTCAGTCTGGTTAAAAGCTTTGTAGGAGATCTAAGTCTGGGTTTGTTGTATAAATCTTGGAGTTTCTTCCTTTATTGGAGTGCTATGAGGATGCTGTTGGTGGATGTTGTGGATGGGTCCCTGTGTACCTTTGCAGGCAACAGTGGGTGAGAGCAAGTCAGAAAAATGAGGTTACATCAAAAAGGCACCCAGCTTACTTGGGGTCTCTGCTAGTTTGTTCTAATGGGGCTCAAGGACCCTTTTTTGCAGTGGCTTATTTAGAAAAACATAACAATTTGTGCACTTTGCTAAATGAGATGTTGGAGACAGGGAGTGTAGAAGCCCACACCTGGCTAAAGCAATGCAGAAAAAATGGTGGAGATGTTTGTGAAAGCACCAAAAATGTGGGATGAGCTTGATTGGTGAAAGGAAAGAGTCAGAGGGGTGTGAGGGGAAAAGAAACCATCTCCAAGAAGGGTGAATTATGAGTCAAAGAGAATACTGCAGGATTGCTGGTGGCAAGGTAGAGCTGTTCCTATACTGCTGGGTCAAATCCAGCTCAAGTGGTTAGCACCAGAGCATGAGGATCTAAGAGGAGCTGTTGCCCTGCCTGTAATGAGTTTTCAGCCTGCTCCAGCTATAAAATACAGGATTTCCACACTGCCAGTAGCTCATGAAGAGAAGTAGGTGGATTTTGCACTATCCTTGAATGAGGCATCCTTGGAGCATCTTATTCCTAGAAGTTGACTCTGGCAGCACAGTCCCTTCCTGCTCTCCTGTCCTTTCCATGTTGGGACATGCTGTGTTTTCCACAGCTGATTATTGGGAACCTTTGTGTTGAATTTACACAATATAAAAACAACCAACAAGTGGAAAGCATTCTCCTGGTGTTAGAACTTGCAGCAGGTTTTTAGAAGAAAAGAGTGGCAGTCTCAGGAGATGACTAAGTGGCAGGAGCTGAGCTACTCACCTGCCTTTTGTCACGATAGTAATTACCCCAAGAAAAACCTTCACCTGCTGATCAAAGAAACTCAGCCTGGGCATGTCAGTGGTTACCGTGCTAAAATTACACCAACAAAAAGCACTGGCCTGTAATAGAATGGAGCCAGAAGTCCTGAGCCTGCAAAAATGCAGGCGGCTCCTTAACTTGATGGGTGTGAGTAATCCCATTGTCTGGGCTGCTGGTCTGCAGGAAACTTCCCTGGGGTCAAGGCTCCAGTTCCCTGCAAGGCACATCTAATGGCCTTGAAGGGTCCAGTTGACTCAAGGCAACGTTTCAGAGAGGGGGTGATGGGGAGCAGAGATGCTGAGTGAGCTGAAAGGTGACTCTGAGCCAAGATTTGGGCTTTTGTGTTTTTCTTTTTTGGATACGTGAGGCTGAATTGTTCCTGTGTTTATTGTGGTGAATCTCAGATGGACTGAAGGAACCGCTGGAGGTCACAGGATCATGGCATGGTTTGGGTTGGAAGGGGCCTTTAAAGGCCATCTAATCCAACCCTCCTGCTGAGAGCAGGGGCATCTTCAACTAGATCAGGTCGTTTAGAGCCCTGTCCAAACTGAGCTTGAATATTTCCAGGGATGGGGCATCTCCCACCTCTCTGGGCAAGCCAGTCATCAGGTCCAATCAGC